TTTGGAAATGTGTAACAGAATAGAATGTATGATGGAAATTATCCAGTATTTAGGGTGTTTATCATTGTCTTTTCAGCATTAGCTGCCTTTAATAGCAAAAAAAAATGCTCATGCAAGATGAAAACAATTACAAAAATGTCTTCATCAGGCGAAAAATGAAAGAACATATTCTAGGATCTAATTTTTTGCCCAACGAAAATATTTTTGTAAATGTTGAAAGTACTTATATGAGCATTTCTTTTCATTATTAAAGGCAGCTAATGCTGAAAAGACAGCTTTTTTAGTACTATTTACTCAAAGGATTATTATTTTACTTGTCTGGTTATGTACTAATTCACAATCTGTAATCAAGAATTGGAAATTAATAAAGGATTGCAAACATTGATAGAAACACTTATGTCTGAATTTTGAGAGAAACCAAAAAAAAATATGAAAAAGTTATTCTGGAAAGTATTAATAATATAATTTGCAATTATTGTACTTGCTGGTATTATCCAAAAGTTACTGTGCAGTGAGAAATTTGTAACGACATTAAATTCATATGTACAGTACAGTATTGGATAGGAGACCTGTAAATTGTACGCAATACCATATGGTCAACTGGTATCAAACGCTTTTCTTTTCAGTTAACTAATATTCTTCTATGTGATCTTTTATATAAAAATTTAATAATATAAATAAATGAATTGGCTCTGTTCTATATTTTATTGATAAAATAACTTCTTTATAGTTAAATTGGGATTTGTGTTGTAGAACTTTAAATGCAAATTATGAGGCTGAGTCATGTATATATTTATCAATTGTATGGTGAAGATTATAACCATCAAAAATTTCAATAACACTCTAATGAAGAAAATATTACTTTATATGGTATGAACTATATATATGAGGGGTTACCATTTAATTCGTGGCCAGGAGAGAAGACTTAAATGACATCTTTGGTATCTTCTGGCATTAGTTGAACTCAAAATACTTCTTTGATCCTCACATTTTTTTTAGCATTGTACCTGTGCTTTAAACACATTTTGGTAGGCATTTTTTCATGGCCACCTTCATATTTTTCAAAATCACTTCTCACAAAATTCTTTTCTATAGTGATTTAAAATAATGTTAAATAGACAGATGTAAATGAAAATTTCAGAATGACAGACAATTAAACTAAAGGAGAGCACATAAAATTAATTTTGGAGAATGAATTAAGTGTAAATGATTAAGAATTAGTGGAAAAGCACATGTGAATTATAGAAATTGTGCTATAAAAAATTTAACATTTGATATGAGTGGGGAATATCAATGTAAATTTATGAATTTGTTAATTATTACTGAGAAGTTAAATAAATATTATTTATTTTTGCATAATGCATTATTGTTAGTGCATTCCAAATATAATGTTTATTATTTAACAAATTAAAATATTTTTTTAGTTCTGATTTAAGTGTACAGTACATTTACATTTAAAGTAAAATTAAATAAATTTTAATACAAGTATATAATTATTTTAGAATATATGACAAACCTCCATCTGTCATTCCCATATCAATTGTTTTCTCACATCTATTGGTTGTTTCCTCCAGTCCTAAGTAAGAACCCATATATATATGGGTTCTTACTTAGGACTGGAGGAAACCCATATATATAATATTAATTGTTCTTGTATTCTTCATTCCCGCATAGTTTGTTTCCCCTCGATGTTTGTTCTGTATTTTAACTAAAAGAAAATTGAAAAACAACCTAACTGTGAAAATTTAAGCCAAACCAGGATTTAAATGTTGGCCATGCCTGTTCTAGACTGACGAGCTGGCGAAGTTACAAAATTTATGTGAGAAAGCTAATTATCATAAAATAGTTTTCATATGGAATGCTTTTTATTCTGAATTAGAGTTTATATCAATAGTTACATTATATTTCTCATATATATTTAAATATTCTGCTCTTAATGAGTGATTTATTGTGAATAATTAGGAAAGTTATATATATTCAGCACCACTAACTCCCTTAATTTAATTTCTTCTGCTTTCCTTCCTTAATTTCATTTCTGTGGACATACTCAGTTCTTGGCAAGTTGACTGCAAGAGGTGTTGCACTTTTTGTTTTTTAGATTTAGGACCACAAGTATCAAAAGGCTTTGATGGCTTGTCAGGTCCATTCGTGGGAATATTTAGTCTTAATGTATTCGGGGTGGCTTTAAATACAGGGTAGTTATAATTAAAGTTGCACTACTCAGACCTGTCTAGAGCCCATTCTCGTGAACGTATTTTGATGAAACTTGGTATATACAATATGTTATATGGACCATGGGGAAAAGGAAAATGCAAAAAAAAAACATTTAGTTTGCATTTTTACCACTAGTTGAAAAAATGGTGTTTGAAAAACAAGAAACACAAAATGAAAACACGCAAAAGGTTTTTATTCACAACATTAAACTAAAATCTTATGTAAACTTCAAAAAGAATTTTTAGGTCGAACGAAAATTATTCACCTTTTCAAAAGAATTCTTCAAATTGACAATGCCTAATTTAGAAAAAAATTCAACTACTGGTAATAAGGAAAATCTGTATAAATTATGATTCAAACATACAGTAAACTCTGTTGTTAGGGGGTGCACACAATTTGTGCCAACTAGATGTAGTGAAATATAATATGCAGAGCTATGCATGCTTATGCAAGTTTGGTCAAATTTAGCCGTGTACTTTTGCTACTCATTTGCATTTCAAGGAAACTTAACTCCATTCTCAGATGCTATGGGTAGTCTACTATTGAGATATAAAATAAATTAACATGTTGGATTAAGTTGAAAAATTGAATTTTTTCACCTAGATTGCCAGATTTTCACACTGGGTCAGTGGGTGGCATGTTACTTTTCTAACATATTTCTTTATTAACCAGCTGTTTGATCACACAGTAAGATCTCTCTCTATTCCTTGACCGTCCAACTATCACTCCCTAGTTTTTCCTTAACTTCTCCAATATGGTATACTAATCCTAATGCCTTTATTATTCCATGTTCTAATTCTAGTTTATTGCAGGTTTTGCCACTCAACAACTTACGATGTTTTACAGTGCCCTCTTCTTCCAGAGAGTTTTCTACTTGTTAGTAGAATTGTATTTTTAGTTATTCATTTTGTGTTTTGATATATCAGTAAAATAAACTGACAAGTTTCCATGTCTTACTCTCACATTCTAATAAATCAATGAATATATATAAAAAATAACCAAAAAATTCTTTCAAAGGAGACCCAAATGACCATTACAGATTCACATCAGAATGTATTGAATTTTTTCCAGAAACTTTGATAAAAATTTGAATCTTAAAATATATATAAAACTAATATTGTCATAAACTTTCCATTTGAAATTTTTTAGTGAACTATAAAAAATTAATGGACAACAAAAGAATATATGTAAATAAGAGTTAAAATCTTGATTATTAAGGTAAATAAATTCCAAGAGGCTACCAGAAATGCATAATTGAGCAATATCTTAATGCTATTGATATTTAATAATTAAAATTACAAGTAAATTTTACGCTAACAATATTTATAATTTTCTTACAGTATCGATACGTAGATCAAGCCAAGAGAGACATCTGCAATGCTCTACAGTTATACAAAAGTCTATATCCGAAACGACAGCAATTTGGTAATTATGAAATAGTGACATAAAATTATGTAATTATAACACTTAATTTTCCCTAATTTACTGTCTGTTAAGTAATGAAATGCACAGTATATTGGATTTATCATCATTTCACTCAAATTACTTGACTTTTGATCGTCTATTGAATTTTTATACGTAAAATTATTAATGGGAACATTAATTCTTATTTAAGTNCATTAAAATTTACGTTTTTCTTTATTCTTAACCGGAAATAAAAATTATTCATAAAATTTTTAGTTTTAAAACATCATTTATTAAGGCAATTTGATCTCTCTTAGCTAATTTTTAGCTTAAAAAAATAGCCATTTTTACAAGCGACGATTCGGCTAATTTGCATAATATAAAAATGCTTTCAAGTATATTTTATATTAAAAATTAAAGGTATTGCTGTGTTTTTCGGCATCTCGAATGAAGATATTCTCTATTTTATTTCTTTATTATATACTTTTTTTTTGTCAGTTTGACACGCCGCTCTGTAACCAGGTAGCAACTGGAGCGTGTGTAAATTTCCAATAAGTACGCTCCCTTTATATAAGAGATGCATATTTTAATGGAAGGATTTGTCAAAGAGGTTTATTTAAAAGCAATATCTCAATAACGTTTGCTCATGGACTTAAAGATGGAATAAGGATAAGGTTATCAACCCTACGAATTTTTTCTACTGTAAAAAAAGAAAATCGATATTCCTTGACATTGAAAATTTCTAGGATTATTTAGAACATTTGATAAAGTTCTCTTCCATTTCATATTTTTATTTTATTTTATCTATTGTATATTAAAATTTTAAAATTTTGTTCCGTTTCGTGTTGATAAAATTTCTGCCAAAAAATTCTTCGTCCCGCCATCTGGTGTTAAAATTATCGCTACATTATTTCTTTAATTTGTTTTTGTAACAGAAAAATTAATGAAATAACCGTCAAAATTTATAAATGTATAAATAATAATTAAATTAATATCTTTTATAAATAATAAAATAAGAAACAAATCAAACAAACAATTTCGAAAAAATTTCGTTTTATATATACGACGACAATTTCAAATTTTTTTAAATATATTATTTTATGTAATAGAATTATAATATTTATCAATTATTAATTAATTAATCAATAAAAATATTAATAAAACAAAATTAGTTAAAATTTGATTATTTCCGAAACTCTCGAACAGGAATAACTTGACAAATTTTAAAACGACATCTTTACTAACAAATTACCACGAATAATTACACTTTAAACAAATTAATACTTTTAAAAAATCGCAAAGAATTTCGAATTTAAGAAAAGAAAGAAAAAAAAAACAGCGAAATTGATAAAAGTTTCGAATCGGAAAATGTTATTTAATCTCGTCTCCATTAGAAAATGACGTCACCGTCACAAAATGGAAGCATCGATGTTGATTAATTGCGTTATGTACTAATTTACTTAGAAGGCGGATAAATACATCGATGATGTTTATATAATTATAAAGGAGTGTCGTATAAAGTTTTTTCTAACGATTCTTTACTAGAATCGAGGGTCGATTTTGTAGGAAAATGCCTCAGGATATACAAACGAAGACTCTGGTCTCTTCCCTGCTAATCAACGTAAGCCCTGTTGTTTATCAATGGACTTTTTATCTTACTTAAGTGACTAAAGCCGTCTATTGATTCATTTTTTTAATTATAAGTCGAAATTTGAGTGTTGTAGACAGTTCAGGGTATTATCTATAATAATATAAAGTTTAATATAATTAATATTCGGCAAAAGTTAAAGGGGAAATGTAAAAATTAAGCATAAATATGATTGTTATTGCACGTTTATCTGATAACTTATCGGGGATTTTCCCTCACATTTTCACGAAGTAACTTGGTTTTGGTTTTGGTAACTTGAGAATTTATTGTAATTTAAGCGTGTTAAGTAAGTTATAAATGTTATTTAATGCATAATTTGATTCGTCTGACAGAACTTCTCCTTCGCTGGCAGGAGCAAAAAGTTACTGTGGTGTAGTGGTGTTGAGTGATAAAAATATGGTACGGTCTTGATGGTCTGACTTTTGATGACGATTGTTCGATGTACCCCTGGCAGGATTCCCCGTGCCCTTCCGTTACCATGAAAATGTTAGTTGTGTTGCCAGTCTCGTTTTCCCATTTACTTCGGTTCTGTTTCAGAGTGCGTGTTGCTCATTGGCATGCCGTATTATTTGTCCGCTGCCTCCAAAAAGAAATGGTACTGTTAGGTGGTGGGTCTCTTCATTTGCTGTATTCAGGCAGGTTTTAGACTGGTGATCCTCAAACTTGATGAGTCGCAGCCCTTTTGGTTCTTTACAGTTATCTTGACACCTTTAACCTCTTTTCCCTTGTGTGAAAAAGAGAAAGGCTTGGAAATATTCTTAGAAAAACTTATCTATGGTATTCACACTTTGTCCTTACTGTACATTGTTTTCTGCATTTGAAAACTATTAAATGCAATGTTTCAAATTAAAAAGAGGAAAGGGAAGAGTTGTTGGTGACCACACCCTTGCTGTTTGGAACCCTGTGTCTGGCACTTACTGCTACTCTATTGCTTCTTTTCGGCCCACAGGGAGTGGTTGTGCTCATTTTGGGAACTACTACTTTAGACTTATATACTTGGTAAGTATATAAGTCTAAAGTATACCCTTCTGTGTAAGGAATGGCTAAATTCTGTGTGTGTTTTTTGATTATTTTGATAATACCAATTCTTTGCAAGCGTGAGATGTATTTTTGAGGAAGAATCTTTGGGAAAGACAAGCCAATGATTTGAGATGGTCATGGGTTCCCTCCATTTTGGAAGCGGCCTTTTTTGCCTACATTTTTTTGACAAATGAAATATGGTACGGTCTTGATGGTCTGACTTTTGATGACGATTGTTCGATGTACCCCTGGCGGGATTATATGAATGTAGAATGTTTCTTTACTAATAAATATCAATCTTAAAGATTTTATTTTTTAATAAAAATAACATTTATTTATATAGGCAGAAATCATTATGGGCCTGGGGAAAATCTCTAGCTCCTCCTCTTGATGTTCCCACTTGGAAGTAAACTATAACAGGACTTTCTGTCTACTGGTCAAAATCCTACAAGAATTTATGGACCATTTCTACATAAACAGCAAAATTGATAGGAACTATAGACCTTGAAACCCTTTAAAATGGCCAGTACAGGATACGAATATAACATTTTAATAAATAATCAATGTTACTCAGATTTACCTTATTGAATATCAAGTTTAAACTTGATATCTAATCATTTGTTTTTCATATGCAATGTCACACTAGTGACATTTAAGTATCTAGAAACAACAATCTTCATTAATATCTGACAATCAAACGGCCATTCCTGAAATGGAATTTGAATCAGTGATCTGATAACTAGAAACAGTGTCTTAACACTTTAACTAACTTTGTTATTTTTATCATTATATATGTCTACTAAAATTACAAGTATTTCAAATTTCACTTGCAAATAGGTCTTATTTTACATTACATATATACTTGTATGCTATACTGTGTAACAGTTGAGTGTGTTGTCTATGCTCAGATAGAAATTGCATTCCATAATGATTGTAGATATGCTTGTTGAATTGCTGTTATGCTTGATTAATGAAGTTAAAGTAGAAAGTATGCTTGATTGTTGTAATAACTAAAATTATAGAGTAATTTTACTGTTTTTGAAGTTTTTCTCCAACTGCAAATCCTATAGTCGCTTGTGGTTCAAATCCGACGATGGCTAGTTAAGCTGTCTCTTTATCCAAAATTAATTGCCAAATTTTATTATCTTCTTATAGTTTGCCTTTTTATGCAATTTGTGATATTTTCAATGGAATGAATTATGTAATTTGTGGATTTTTAAAACTGTTTAAAACTGTGCTAATATAATTGTTAGTATCAAGTGTTTTATTTATAATATAGCATTTAATATTACTGTAAATGTGATACATTAATATGTAATTTTTTTATCTATAAAAAGGATATAGCAATAATTTATTTAAAAACAGAGGAAATAATATGTGTGTATTGATCCATTTTAGTTGTCTTATTTTTAAATTATAGTTAGATTTATTACTGTTGGATGGCTTAAATTTTTTGAGTGGTAGTTCAATTCCCTTAGTTTTTTGATTCATCTTTAATAAGGAGGTAAATTATATAAAAATNCTGTTGGCTGTTTGTGTATTGATATTTTAAGTTTAGTTTCTAAGATGAAGAATTGTATACATTTATATATATTAACTGCATCAAACTTTTAAACATTAAGCGCACACAACTTTCATATATTAAGTGCATTAAACATGCCTAAGGAATTTGTAATGCTGCTGGAACGCCCACTACGGGGCGTCCCGGGCTACTAGTTGTATAATATAATAGCTTTGTAATTCAACAATCAGTAAGGTTCTAGCTCTGAATGAGACAATTGGGATCTTCTCAGAGCTATAGACCATGATCATAGGAGTGAAAAAAGTCAAAGGAATCAACAATCTACATGTGACCCTTTGTGAAATATAGCCCCAAAATCAACTTGTTAAAAATGAGTAGGATTAACAGAGCAAAAATGCTGACTCAATCCCACCCCAGAAATAGTTAGCGCAATGGTGTTTCTTGTGTTTTGTAAGCTTTTAGTCATGTCTAGTAAAATGGAAAACAATTGATTTTTAGCACTTTTTTGAGAAATAGTTTTGGATTTCTTCACTTTAAATTTTACCCCATTTTTGGCAGTCTTCAGAATTCCAGATGGGCCAATTTCAGGTGGCTATATTTCACAAAACGTCACATGTAGACCATTTGTTTAAGTCTACAGTGCTGATAAGGTCCCAACCATCTCAATTAGAGCTAGAATCTTACCTGACAATCCACATTGAAAATCTTGAATTTACCAAAATGAACCAAAAAAATAAATCATTAACAAAAATACAAACCTTTAAATGGAACAGGTATCGTACCATCAAGACACACTAATTCCTTGCTCGAACCATCATTAAACACTAGAATAAATAAAAGTAAATTTCTACTACAATAAACTAATTGAAAATACATTTTTCATTAATGAAAATATTCTTACAAAATATTAATAATCAATTAAATTAACTTGTCCAATTTGCTTTTAAATGGAAATTATATTCTATAGTATCAATTATATTTAACGAATGAATATTTATAAAGAATTTATAATTGAAAAAATCTTACTAAGCACAAAGAACTCTACAACAATATAGCTTATCTCACTAATCAAACGTAAGCACAGAAATTATTAGTTTTTATCGTTATCCTACACATAATATTATAATTTTATGAGTTACAGACATTTCATTACAACATAAACTCTTTGTATCGAAAGTTTATTTGGTAAGCCATAACATTTAAGTATTAAACTGCTTGGTCTTCTATGCCATTAAACTAGATCTGTATTATTCTTTTAAACTATACAAAATATGAAAAACTTAAAATATTTTAAGAAGTTTCTTGATTTAAACATCTCATTTTAATGACCAACATATAAAAAATTTAAACATAATGTTCTGTTATAAACAGTTTTTTGTTTCTATCATACTTCTAACTTTATAATTGATATTTTAAACATCAAAATTTAGATCAAATTTTAACTGAAAAAGCTACTACGACATACCTTTCAAAAAGCTTCCAAATTTAGATCAAATACTTTAACTGAAAAAGCTACTAGGACATACCTTTCCGTCTTTTAAGTGATTATTGGAACTTCATCCTGTGTTAAGTTGCCATTAATCAAATAATTCTAAATAATGTTTCCGAGAAGAAATATTTTATATTAGACTACATTAGAGAGTAGTTTCCTAACTGCTGTATCACAAAGCCATTCTAAATGTCCCACAAGATGAATAAAAAAACTTCAAGCAACAAATTTAAAAATTTGTAAATAGCTAACAAAATGTACTTATTAACTATGTTTCAGAAGTTTTTACCAATAAACAATCATACAGAATGTATTAGAGAGAGCTCCATGACCTGTTAGCCTGTCAGGTAATATTTAATAATAAAGTGTGCCGCAACATTTGCAAGATTGTTTCAGTGTGCCATAAGTCCAAAAAAGTTGGAAATAGACATCAAATGAAAGGTTATTGATGATAATCATTTTAAACAGCAACTTGAAAGAACTCATAAAATATCAATTTTAAATAAAACCTTGTACATCTTCCAAAGCTAGGATCATTAATTGGTTTCTTCCAAACTTCTGAATTTCAAATTTAGAACATACATTAAACATAGCATACATGTTAATGTATGCTATGTTTCCATCATATAACATGTTCTCACTCTATATCTAATACAATAACACTTGTGACAACATAGGCTTAGAGATAATTTGTACTAGACAAAACTTAAATGCTTAACACAGTGGGCTTTGGTATTACATGTAGTCAATTATAATGATTGTAAGTACATTGGTCGAAAGTACAACAGCATAATGAACATATGATTCATATTATAAACACTTCACACCAGCGTTTAGAATTAAATAAATGACACTTCTGTGTTGCAGCATTACTAACAACAATTAGTCCATTAAAAAGCTGATAATTCGATAAATAAATGTATTCAATTTTCACCTGAGGATGACGACTGTAAGCTGTTGAAAGTACTTCCAAGTACATCTGAATTTTAACAAAATTTAGTAACATTGCAACACAGAAACGTCATTTATTTAAGTACAACAGCCATTGGCACCAAGCAAACCATAATATATTTGTCTTCTCAATTTTTTGGTATTAAATAATCTATCTAGATATTTATGTCATTTGTTTCTCTATTTGTTACCATAAACAAATTTTCCATTAATACTGTATATTTCCACAGATATGACAACCTTCAGATAAGACAAGGTATAAATTTTCTTCAAAGTTTTATAGTTTTAGCATATATCTACCCTATAAGACAAACCCCAAACTATCAACAGCCTATGAATTTAGTTTAGATCAGTGATCATCATCTGGATAATAATATTGTATAATGTATACAGAAATATGTCTTATTTGTAATTTTTTGAATGAACAAATTTTATTTTCTTGCATCTGGCAGCACTGCCTTGCAATTATTGCAAACATTCGCACTGATTCAGGCATTCGGGTAATGACTTTGACTATTCACAAAAACATCATATGGGCTATTCTATTTTGTGGACATACCCTACTCTCTACCAGTAAATAATTATGGTTTGTCAGTTTTTTATAATGGTTTTAATTTATATAAATTTCAATTAATTTTTTTGTATCTGTCCTATAAGACAACCCCAGATTTTGGGGGCTTTTTTTTATTCAACTATCATCTTATCTGCAGAAATATATGATAATTATGCTAAATCTATGTTAAAATTTCTTTGAAGAAGCATAGTAAAAACAGTGCTTAAATTTAATTTTATTCTCCAATTTTAATAGGTGAAAGGTACAATGTACACAACAACCCAATTCAATTAATTTAATTAATATTGACAATCGGCTGGATTATTTATTGAGATTTATTACATTAATGGATAAATAATCCATTAGATTATTGGATAAATAATCTAATGGATTATTTAGCAATAGTGATGGATGTATAACAAAGCTAGGGCCAAATTGCTACAAAAAAATTAAATAAGTAACATTTAGACTATAAATAAGGCTGCTTTCTATTAATCTATATATATATGTAAATATAATATAAAGTAAATATATATAAAGTCAAAACATGTATGTATGTTTGGTAAAGAGTTCTATACCATTCGACACATCAACACAAATTTGACATAGATATTTTTCGATAAAAAAAAAAACTTTGAGGGTCCCCCACCATAACCACCTCTAAAGTCCAAATAACACCAGGCACACACAGCTAGTTGTATAATTTTAAGCTTTATATTAAATTTATTTATATCTAAAAGTAACAAATTTCAATAATAATATGAGAAAAAATTTAAGAATGTAAATTACAAATGTATTTTATCCCCTTACACCAATGTCACCTGTAAATTTATATTAGCTCAAAACAAAAATATCAGATAGCAATTTTATGCAATATTTGTATTAAGAAAGAGAATTTATATAAATTTTTACAAAATATATTAAACTTAAATAAGAATTAATGTTCCCATTAATAATTTTACGTATAAAAATTCAATAGACGATCAAAAGTCAAGTAATTTGAGTGAAATGATGATAAATCCAATATACTGTGCATTTCATTACTTAACAGACAGTAAATTAGGGAAAATTAAGTGTTATAATTACATAATTTTATGTCACTATTTCATAATTACCAAATTGCTGTCGTTTCGGATATAGACTTTTGTATAACTGTAGAGCATTGCAGATGTCTCTCTTGGCTTGATCTACGTATCGATACTGTAAGAAAATTATAAATATTGTTAGCGTAAAATTTACTTGTAATTTTAATTATTAAATATCAATAGCATTAAGATATTGCTCAATTATGCATTTCTGGTAGCCTCTTGGAATTTATTTACCTTAATAATCAAGATTTTAACTCTTATTTACATATATTCTTTTGTTGTCCATTAATTTTTTATAGTTCACTAAAAAATTTCAAATGGAAAGTTTATGACAATATTAGTTTTATATATATTTTAAGATTCAAATTTTTATCAAAGTTTCTGGAAAAAATTCAATACATTCTGATGTGAATCTGTAATGGTCATTTGGGTCTCCTTTGAAAGAATTTTTTGGTTATTTTTTATATATATTCATTGATTTATTAGAATGTGAGAGTAAGACATGGAAACTTGTCAGTTTATTTTACTGATATATCAAAACACAAAATGAATAACTAAAAATACAATTCTACTAACAAGTAGAAAACTCTCTGGAAGAAGAGGGCACTGTAAAACATCGTAAGTTGTTGAGTGGCAAAACCTGCAATAAACTAGAATTAGAACATGGAATAATAAAGGCATTAGGATTAGTATACCATATTGGAGAAGTTAAGGAAAAACTAGGGAGTGATAGTTGGACGGTCAAGGAATAGAGAGAGATCTTACTGTGTGATCAAACAGCTGGTTAATAAAGAAATATGTTAGAAAAGTAACATGCCACCCACTGACCCAGTGTGAAAATCTGGCAATCTAGGTGAAAAAATTCAATTTTTCAACTTAATCCAACATGTTAATTTATTTTATATCTCAATAGTAGACTACCCATAGCATCTGAGAATGGAGTTAAGTTTCCTTGAAATGCAAATGAGTAGCAAAAGTACACGGCTAAATTTGACCAAACTTGCATAAGCATGCATAGCTCTGCATATTATATTTCACTACATCTAGTTGGCACAAATTGTGTGCACCCCCTAACAACAGAGTTTACTGTATGTTTGAATCATAATTTATACAGATTTTCCTTATTACCAGTAGTTGAATTTTTTTCTAAATTAGGCATTGTCAATTTGAAGAATTCTTTTGAAAAGGTGAATAATTTTCGTTCGACCTAAAAATTCTTTTTGAAGTTTACATAAGATTTTAGTTTAATGTTGTGAATAAAAACCTTTTGCGTGTTTTCATTTTGTGTTTCTTGTTTTTCAAACACCATTTTTTCAACTAGTGGTAAAAATGCAAACTAAATGTTTTTTTTTTGCATTTTCCTTTTCCCCATGGTCCATATAACATATTGTATATACCAAGTTTCATCAAAATACGTTCACGAGAATGGGCTCTAGACAGGTCTGAGTAGTGCAACTTTAATTATAACTACCCTGTATTTAAAGCCACCCCGAATACATTAAGACTAAATATTCCCACGAATGGACCTGACAAGCCATCAAAGCCTTTTGATACTTTGGTCCTAAATCTAAAAAACAAAAAGTGCAACACCTCTTGCAGTCAACTTGCCAAGAACTGAGTATGTCCACAGAAATGAAATTAAGGAAGGAAAGCAGAAGAAATTAAATTAAGGGAGTTAGTGGTGCTGAATATATATAACTTTCCTAATTATTCACAATAAATCACTCATTAAGAGCAGAATATTTAAATATATATGAGAAATATAATGTAACTATTGATATAAACTCTAATTCAGAATAAAAAGCATTCCATATGAAAACTATTTTATGATAATTAGCTTTCTCACATAAATTTTGTAACTTCGCCAGCTCGTCAGTCTAGAACAGGCATGGCCAACATTTAAATCCTGGTTTGGCTTAAATTTTCACAGTTAGGTTGTTTTTCAATTTTCTTTTAGTTAAAATACAGAACAAACATCGAGGGGAAACAAACTATGCGGGAATGAAGAATACAAGAACAATTAATATTATATATATGGGTTTCCTCCAGTCCTAAGTAAGAACCCATATATATATGGGTTCTTACTTAGGACTGGAGGAAACCCATATATATAATATTAATTGTTCTTGTATTCTTCATTCCCGCATAGTTTGTTTCCCCTCGATGTTTGTTCTGTATTTTAACTAAAAGAAAATTGAAAAACAACCTAACTGTGAAAATTTAAGCCAAACCAGGATTTAAATGTTGGCCATGCCTGTTCTAGACTGACGAGCTGGCGAAGTTACAAAATTTATGTGAGAAAGCTAATTATCATAAAATAGTTTTCATATGGAATGCTTTTTATTCTGAATTAGAGTTTATATCAATAGTTACATTATATTTCTCATATATATTTAAATATTCTGCTCTTAATGAGTGATTTATTGTGAATAATTAGGAAAGTTATATATATTCAGCACCACTAACTCCCTTAATTTAATTTCTTCTGCTTTCCTTCCTTAATTTCATTTCTGTGGACATACTCAGTTCTTGGCAAGTTGACTGCAAGAGGTGTTGCACTTTTTGTTTTTTAGATTTAGGACCACAAGTATCAAAAGGCTTTGATGGCTTGTCAGGTCCATTCGTGGGAATATTTAGTCTTAATGTATTCGGGGTGGCTTTAAATACAGGGTAGTTATAATTAAAGTTGCACTACTCAGACCTGTCTAGAGCCCATTCTCGTGAACGTATTTTGATGAAACTTGGTATATACAATATGTTATATGGACCATGGGGAAAAGGAAAATGCAAAAAAAAAACATTTAGTTTGCATTTTTACCACTAGTTGAAAAAATGGTGTTTGAAAAACAAGAAACACAAAATGAAAACACGCAAAAGGTTTTTATTCACAACATTAAACTAAAATCTTATGTAAACTTCAAAAAGAATTTTTAGGTCGAACGAAAATTATTCACCTTTTCAAAAGAATTCTTCAAATTGACAATGCCTAATTTAGAAAAAAATTCAACTACTGGTAATAAGGAAAATCTGTATAAATTATGATTCAAACATACAGTAAACTCTGTTGTTAGGGGGTGCACACAATTTGTGCCAACTAGATGTAGTGAAATATAATATGCAGAGCTATGCATGCTTATGCAAGTTTGGTCAAATTTAGCCGTGTACTTTTGCTACTCATTTGCATTTCAAGGAAACTTAACTCCATTCTCAGATGCTATGGGTAGTCTACTATTGAGATATAAAATAAATTAACATGTTGGATTAAGTTGAAAAATTGAATTTTTTCACCTAGATTGCCAGATTTTCACACTGGGTCAGTGGGTGGCATGTTACTTTTCTAACATATTTCTTTATTAACCAGCTGTTTGATCACACAGTAAGATCTCTCTCTATTCCTTGACCGTCCAACTATCACTCCCTAGTTTTTCCTTAACTTCTCCAATATGGTATACTAATCCTAATGCCTTTATTATTCCATGTTCTAATTCTAGTTTATTGCAGGTTTTGCCACTCAACAACTTACGATGTTTTACAGTGCCCTCTTCTTCCAGAGAGTTTTCTACTTGTTAGTAGAATTGTATTTTTAGTTATTCATTTTGTGTTTTGATATATCAGTAAAATAAACTGACAAGTTTCCATGTCTTACTCTCACATTCTAATAAATCAATGAATATATATAAAAAATAACCAAAAAATTCTTTCAAAGGAGACCCAAATGACCATTACAGATTCACATCAGAATGTATTGAATTTTTTCCAGAAACTTTGATAAAAATTTGAATCTTAAAATATATATAAAACTAATATTGTCATAAACTTTCCATTTGAAATTTTTTAGTGAACTATAAAAAATTAATGGACAACAAAAGAATATATGTAAATAAGAGTTAAAATCTTGATTATTAAGGTAAATAAATTCCAAGAGGCTACCAGAAATGCATAATTGAGCAATATCTTAATGCTATTGATATTTAATAATTAAAATTACAAGTAAATTTTACGCTAACAATATTTATAATTTTCTTACAGTATCGATACGTAGATCAAGCCAAGAGAGACATCTGCAATGCTCTACAGTTATACAAAAGTCTATATCCGAAACGACAGCAATTTGGTAATTATGAAATAGTGACATAAAATTATGTAATTATAACACTTAATTTTCCCTAATTTACTGTCTGTTAAGTAATGAAATGCACAGTATATTGGATTTATCATCATTTCACTCAAATTACTTGACTTTTGATCGTCTATTGAATTTTTATACGTAAAATTATTAATGGGAACATTAATTCTTATTTAAGTTTAATATATTTTGTAAAAATTTATATAAATTCTCTTTCTTAATACAAATATTGCATAAAATTGCTATCTGATATTTTTGTTTTGAGCTAATATAAATTTACAGGTGACATTGGTGTAAGGGGATAAAATACATTTGTAATTTACATTCTTAAATTTTTTCTCATATTATTATTGAAATTTGTTACTTTTAGATATAAATAAATTTAATATAAAGCTTAAAATTATACAACTAGCTGTGTGTGCCTGGTGTTATTTGGACTTTAGAGGTGGTTATGGTGGGGGACCCTCAAAGTTTTTTTTTTTATCGAAAAATATCTATGTCAAATTTGTGTTGATGTGTCGAATGGTATAGAACTCTTTACCAAACATACATACATGTTTTGACTTTATATATATTTACTTTATATTATATTTACATATATATATAGATTAATAGAAAGCAGCCTTATTTATAGTCTAAATGTTACTTATTTAATTTTTTTGTAGCAATTTGGCCCTAGCTTTGTTATACATCCATCACTATTGCTAAATAATCCATTAGATTATTTATCCAATAATCTAATGGATTATTTATCCATTAATGTAATAAATCTCAATAAATAATCCAGCCGATTGTCAATATTAATTAAATTAATTGAATTGGGTTGTTGTGTACATTGTACCTTTCACCTATTAAAATTGGAGAATAAAATTAAATTTAAGCACTGTTTTTACTATGCTTCTTCAAAGAAATTTTAACATAGATTTAGCATAATTATCATATATTTCTGCAGATAAGATGATAGTTGAATAAAAAAAAGCCCCCAAAATCTGGGGTTGTCTTATAGGACAGATACAAAAAAATTAATTGAAATTTATATAAATTAAAACCATTATAAAAAACTGACAAACCATAATTATTTACTGGTAGAGAGTAGGGTATGTCCACAAAATAGAATAGCCCATATGATGTTTTTGTGAATAGTCAAAGTCATTACCCGAATGCCTGAATCAGTGCGAATGTTTGCAATAATTGCAAGGCAGTGCTGCCAGATGCAAGAAAATAAAATTTGTTCATTCAAAAAATTACAAATAAGACATATTTCTGTATACATTATACAATATTATTATCCAGATGATGATCACTGATCTAAACTAAATTCATAGGCTGTTGATAGTTTGGGGTTTGTCTTATAGGGTAGATATATGCTAAAACTATAAAACTTTGAAGAAAATTTATACCTTGTCTTATCTGAAGGTTGTCATATCTGTGGAAATATACAGTATTAATGGAAAATTTGTTTATGGTAACAAATAGAGAAACAAATGACATAAATATCTAGATAGATTATTTAATACCAAAAAATTGAGAAGACAAATATATTATGGTTTGCTTGGTGCCAATGGCTGTTGTACTTAAATAAATGACGTTTCTGTGTTGCAATGTTACTAAATTTTGTTAAAATTCAGATGTACTTGGAAGTACTTTCAACAGCTTACAGTCGTCATCCTCAGGTGAAAATTGAATACATTTATTTATCGAATTATCAGCTTTTTAATGGACTAATTGTTGTTAGTAATGCTGCAACACAGAAGTGTCATTTATTTAATTCTAAACGCTGGTGTGAAGTGTTTATAATATGAATCATATGTTCATTATGCTGTTGTACTTTCGACCAATGTACTTACAATCATTATAATTGACTACATGTAATACCAAAGCCCACTGTGTTAAGCATTTAAGTTTTGTCTAGTACAAATTATCTCTAAGCCTATGTTGTCACAAGTGTTATTGTATTAGATATAGAGTGAGAACATGTTATATGATGGAAACATAGCATACATTAACATGTATGCTATGTTTAATGTATGTTCTAAATTTGAAATTCAGAAGTTTGGAAGAAACCAATTAATGATCCTAGCTTTGGAAGATGTACAAGGTTTTATTTAAAATTGATATTTTATGAGTTCTTTCAAGTTGCTGTTTAAAATGATTATCATCAATAACCTTTCATTTGATGTCTATTTCCAACTTTTTTGGACTTATGGCACACTGAAACAATCTTGCAAATGTTGCGGCACACTTTATTATTAAATATTACCTGACAGGCTAACAGGTCATGGAGCTCTCTCTAATACATTCTGTATGATTGTTTATTGGTAAAAACTTCTGAAACATAGTTAATAAGTACATTTTGTTAGCTATTTACAAATTTTTAAATTTGTTGCTTGAAGTTTTTTTATTCATCTTGTGGGACATTTAGAATGGCTTTGTGATACAGCAGTTAGGAAACTACTCTCTAATGTAGTCTAATATAAAATATTTCTTCTCGGAAACATTATTTAGAATTATTTGATTAATGGCAACTTAACACAGGATGAAGTTCCAATAATCACTTAAAAGACGGAAAGGTATGTCCTAGTAGCTTTTTCAGTTAAAGTATTTGATCTAAATTTGGAAGCTTTTTGAAAGGTATGTCGTAGTAGCTTTTTCAGTTAAAATTTGATCTAAATTTTGATGTTTAAAATATCAATTATAAAGTTAGAAGTATGATAGAAACAAAAAACTGTTTATAACAGAACATTATGTTTAAATTTTTTATATGTTGGTCATTAAAATGAGATGTTTAAATCAAGAAACTTCTTAAAATATTTTAAGTTTTTCATATTTTGTATAGTTTAAAAGAATAATACAGATCTAGTTTAATGGCATAGAAGACCAAGCAGTTTAATACTTAAATGTTATGGCTTACCAAATAAACTTTCGATACAAAGAGTTTATGTTGTAATGAAATGTCTGTAACTCATAAAATTATAATATTATGTGTAGGATAACGATAAAAACTAATAATTTCTGTGCTTACGTTTGATTAGTGAGATAAGCTATATTGTTGTAGAGTTCTTTGTGCTTAGTAAGATTTTTTCAATTATAAATTCTTTATAAATATTCATTCGTTAAATATAATTGATACTATAGAATATAATTTCCATTTAAAAGCAAATTGGACAAGTTAATTTAATTGATTATTAATATTTTGTAAGAATATTTTCATTAATGAAAAATGTATTTTCAATTAGTTTATTGTAGTAGAAATTTACTTTTATTTATTCTAGTGTTTAATGATGGTTCGAGCAAGGAATTAGTGTGTCTTGATGGTACGATACCTGTTCCATTTAAAGGTTTGTATTTTTGTTAATGATTTATTTTTTTGGTTCATTTTGGTAAATTCAAGATTTTCAATGTGGATTGTCAGGTAAGATTCTAGCTCTAATTGAGATGGTTGGGACCTTATCAGCACTGTAGACTTAAACAAATGGTCTACATGTGACGTTTTGTGAAATATAGCCACCTGAAATTGGCCCATCTGGAATTCTGAAGACTGCCAAAAATGGGGTAAAATTTAAAGTGAAGAAATCCAAAACTATTTCTCAAAAAAGTGCTAAAAATCAATTGTTTTCCATTTTACTAGACATGACTAAAAGCTTACAAAACACAAGAAACACCATTGCGCTAACTATTTCTGGGGTGGGATTGAGTCAGCATTTTTGCTCTGTTAATCCTACTCATTTTTAACAAGTTGATTTTGGGGCTATATTTCACAAAGGGTCACATGTAGATTGTTGATTCCTTTGACTTTTTTCACTCCTATGATCATGGTCTATAGCTCTGAGAAGATCCCAATTGTCTCATTCAGAGCTAGAACCTTACTGATTGTTGAATTACAAAGCTATTATATTATACAACTAGTAGCCCGGGACGCCCCGTAGTGGGCGTTCCAGCAGCATTACAAATTCCTTAGGCATGTTTAATGCACTTAATATATGAAAGTTGTGTGCGCTTAATGTTTAAAAGTTTGATGCAGTTAATATATATAAATGTATACAATTCTTCATCTTAGAAACTAAACTTAAAATATCAATACACAAACAGCCAACAGTATTTGTACATGAGAAAGTGAATCTATTCTTTACTCAAAATTGTTCAAATAAATAGAATTAATATGATTAAAAAATCAAGTATAAATATATACAAATGTTCATGTTAAAAAGTAATGTTAACAGATCAATACACAGCAAATAGTATTTCTGTATTACAGACTGAAGATATTCTTTAGCTGTGTTCTGTATTCCATCATTTATCCCATCATAAAACTTCTGTATACACAACATTGTTGGTAAAAAAA